ACCACTCTCTTAATAAATCTCGTTGGTTGGTCAATCCAAATATAATTATTTCTATGATTTGGAAAAAAAATAAATCAAAATAGAGAAAAGAGAATCAAAGGCCTCCAAAAAAATCTTATCAATTTACTATATTCAACATTTAAGAATATGAAAGTAGAAATGAAAAAAAAAAAATCCTAGTTATACTATTCAACTTCAATACTTATCAATGTTGCATGACCTATAGAATTTTGGTTATAAACTACTTCAAACTCCCTAAAATAAGAAAATATTTAGAGATATTGCATTAAAATCATTGTAATCATGCATCACCATCCTCGAAATATGAACGTCCTGAAAAAACAGGATTAGCTAAAGAATACCAGTATAGATTATGCTTGCAATTTGCAATTAATAAAAGCACCAAATAAGATATGTTGTGTAAATTAAAAAAAAATAACTGGCACCAATCTCTTCTTTGGCTCATAACAAGTGCGATGGGGATATAACGATGTTTCTTGAGCGCAGGAAGAACTGATTTTACATAGTCAAAATTCCCTATACGTTTGTTGCAGTACGCAAAACGGGTGGGAGGAAGGGAGAGAAAGACGATGGTTAGTCGGGTAGGAGTGGAGTGAAAAGAAAAGATATAAGGGAGTTTCTGAGATCGTTGTAGGTCGCGACACTGTAGTTGTCTTCCCGACTAACTCCAGTTACGGCTGTATCGCTAGGGTTTCAAACTCGAAAGAAGGATGAAGGGCAAGGTAGGCGATGTCTTCAAGCGAAACCTGGAGAGGCGAAACTCAGGTATGGAGAGAGATTGAGCGAGGGAAGAGACATACAGCTTCGAAGAACACGAGAGGAATGACTCGTTGAGTCGCGGATTCAAGACGGAGGCCACGGTGTTGATCCCGCTAAGGAATCAAAAACGCGGTTTCTTAATAAGTTTTTCGAATACATTAACCACACTAACCAAACGACACGGTAATGTTTTCAAAATGTCGTCCGCACTTATAAGCTGCCCCAAACATACACTTAATTTGTGCGAATACGTCACTTGCACACAGATAAAAAAAGAAAAAAAATGCTCAAAAAATTTTTACGTGAAAAACCCAATTATGAAAAAACATGGTTAGTTGGGTAGGAGTGGAGTGAAAAGAAAAGATATAAGGGAGTTTCTGAGATCGTTGTAGGTCGCGACACTGTAGTTGTCTTCCCGACTAACTCCAGTTACGGCTGTATCGCTAGGGTTTCAAACTCGAAAGAAGGATGAAGGGCAAGGTAGGCGATGTATTCAAGCGAAACCTGGAGAGGTGAGCGAGGGAGGAGACAGACAGCTTCGAAGAACACAAAAGGAATGGCCACGGTGTTGATCCTGCTAAGGAATCAAAAACGCGGTTTCTCAATAAGTTTTTCTAACGTACGAACCAAACAACATGGTAGTAGTGTTTTCAAAATGCCGCCCGCACTTATAAGCTGTCCCAAACAGACGCTTAATTTGCGCGAAGACGTCACTTGCACACAGATAAAAAAAGAAAAAAAATGCTCAAAAAATTTTTACGTGAAAAACCCAATTATGAAAAAACATGGGGTCTAGTCAAGTTGAAATAATTTCACTAAATAAATGAAAGTAATCAAAATTTTGTCCATTCGTTGAATAAGGAAATATAGTGTTATAAAAGTGTAGTTGACTATTTGACTTTTTTTTAATGGCAAAAAGTGATGAAAACGTAGCGACCATCTGACGATAATAGTAATGATAATAAAGTCATGATGAGTTCAAATTGCGGCGACGGTCTAACAACACTGATAATAAATTTGTGAAAGCTATTTATCGATAGCAATGAGAATTAAACAACATTGGTATGGCCACATGGAATAAATCTCGTTGGCTTATCACTCATTGTCGGAGGTTGTTGGCTACAAACTTTCTTCAAGAGTATAGACCTAGCACTATTTTCTCTTGGCCTTCTCCTTCATGTTCAAGATGAGATCCTATATATATTTAATATTTTAGTGTCTTAATAACTTTAAAATTTATGAATTTAAGTTTGTTGAATTTTACTCGTCGAGATACTTGACTTGGCTGTAAGCATACTAAGTTTGGAGATCATTTGACATTTCGCTTAACATTTTATAAATTTTAACCATAATTTAAGTTATTGATCCAAACTCATTTGGGCTAAGACCTAATCACTTTTAGATGGCCAATATTATTTTTGTATTGTGTCTTTTTAACCTTAGAATCCAGTGATTTAAGTTTGTTGTATTCTAGTCGCGGGAGAAATTTAGAATCGAATGATTCAAGTGTCAGAATCGAATGATTTTTGCATTGACGAGATGTTAAATTTGACAATAAAATTCTTGAAATTAAAGTTCAAATGATCTTCAATGAATCAAAGTTTGAGTATGTTTAAGAGAACCTTTTGGCCTTTTTGGTGGCATATATAGTATATCAAAATTTGGGTTATGTTTAAGATAACTTGCTTTGCGGCATATCCTACCCAAACACGAATGAACAGAGTTTGTGTTCGTTTTCGGTTCATTTGAAATTTAGTTTGTTTGAAATAAGCTCGCTTTCGAAATTGTTCCTGAAGTCACTGTTCGTGTTCGTTTCTTAACGAAAGAGCCGAACACAAGCTGTTCACGAACGATGAGCCAGTTTGACATCCCTAATATTAATATATATAAATAATATATTATATTTATTATATAACTTATATTATATAAATATATAATATCTATATTAG